CACCCTGCGCTTCACCCAGCTTACAGCAGCGCAGCTCGGCTATGGCTGCGTGCTCCTTCCCTGCTCGCCCGTGAGAGCGTAGGCGCCAGCCAGCAAATAGCGCAGCAGCGCTTGCGCAGCATGCAGCCAGCACCCGAATGCCGAATACGGAGGCAGGCCCTTTGCTATATCGAAGTGGCCTGCCTGCGTGCAGTCCCAGGAAGCTTCCAGTAGGCCCGGTAGCCTGAGGCCCAGCTCGACGAAAACAGGCCTTGGGCCTGAGGTGGTTGCATGTGCCCAACTGCCTTTGGCCTGTGTTTGGCCCAGTACCCGTATTCAGCCCAGGGCCTGCTTCACATACATTCACACAGGCGGCCCAGGGCCTGGGTTCACTCAACCAACTGGTGCTGCGCAACTGCCTGAATTTCCTTGAGTTGTGCAGAGGCCGAAATAAGGCCCTGAGGGGCCTCGTCGAGCCTGCCTTCACTTAGGGCAGCCGACAGGCTCTCAAAAGGGGCTGAATGGGGCTCGTAGAGGCAGTGGCCTCGCATTCCCTCCTCCTTGGCTTCAACAGTCCTCTAAGAAGCTCAGTCTTCGACCATCGGGCGCTTTCCTTTCTGCAGAGATTTCTCATAGTGGGCTACCACTTGTGGAGCGGTCTGCATGAGTTCATCCCTGGTAAACCATCGGTCCTCCTTGGGATCAGTATGAAGTTGGAACCGAACGAGGTACTGCAGCTTCGATTTGGGAGGACGTCCCCTGCCTGTTGGTCTTGATAACTGCAGCTCTGTGTGGTCCACGATATCATCGATGTCCACCTCTCCATCCATGGTTGGGGGCAGCATTGAGCGGCGAGATGGAAACTGATCAGTTTCTTTGAATGGTGCAAGTTTGGAGGCGTGAAAGACGGGGTAAGTACGAAGATGACCTGGGATTCGGATTACATAAGATGGCCCATCTGGATCAGTCCCGACAATATCTAAGACTTCCCATGGTCCAAAGTATTGTGGCATGAGTTTACGGGAAATCCCGTACTCCTGTCCCAGTTCTGAGGACTTTACCCAAACTCTGTCCCCAACCTGAAAGGTAGAAGGTCGGCGGTGTCTGTTCTCAAACTCTATCATTGCTGCCTGTGCCTTCTGCATCTGCTCTACCGCCTGCTGCATTCTCTGTTCATTTCTGTAGGCAAACTCTAAAGTACCCTGAGCAGCAGTTGATTGATTCTCAGGAAGAAGAAAGTCAAGGGGTAGTCTAGGCTTGAAAGTCGGTAGTAAACTGTTCGGGCTCACCCCAGTGGCGCTGTGTACAACATTGTTGTACAGGCTGGCGATGAGAGCAAGCTTCTCATCCCAGTCCACCTGGTTGGGCTTGATGTAGTGCTCAACAAGTGTTGCACAGCGTGATTCAGTTGCTTTGCCTGTCCATTGGCCTTTGGGTGATTCCCAAAAGTCATCTGCAACTGAGTTCCCTGCTTTGCAACAGCGGCCTTCCACAACTCGCTGGTAAGCTGGACATCCCTGTCACTGACAATAGACTACCAAAGTCTCTGACCCAGTTCTCTTTGAACATCCGGATCACATACTCCGTCTTTGCTGTTTCAGGCATTGGTACTAACCTAGCATACTTACTAAATCTATCCACGATGACGAAGATGTGACGCATCCCACTCTTGCTGGTGATTAGAGTATCCATGAAATCCATGGACAGACTCTCACCAGGCCGTTCCGGAATCGGAAGGGGCTTCAAGAGCCCAAGAGGAGCCTGAGTGCGTGGCTTGTCCCTTTGACAAACTTGAAAAGTCTCCACGTACAGCTGGGCATCTTGCATCATCGTGGGCCACCAGAAACGCTGCAGCAGATTGGCTGCGGTCTTCTTGTACCCAAAATGGCCGGTGGCATCATGGCACTCACCTAAGAACAAACTACGCAAAGACTCGCTATTTGGGACACACAATCGTTTATTCCCTTCCTTCTCAAGGAACAGCAAGCCATTGACCATTTCAAACACGGCAGAAGTCTTCTTGTCCTTCGCCTCAAGTCTGCGTATGATCTCAGACATGAACTGATCCTCGCGATAGGCTTCCACCAAAGACTGAGTAACACTGTCCGTCAGATCGAACTCAGTAATCAGCGCGCCTAAGAAATCAGGTCTATGCGACAAGGCATCAACACCTTGTTGTATGACTTCGATCCAACGCTTGAGGGCGTCAGAGAGTACAGGCTGAGTTCTCATCCATCTCAGGGTCTGATGATCAGTCCTGAGGATGAAGAACCTCCCAAGGAGATAGTGCGTCCAATGGGTCAGAGCCTTGTAAACCGCATAGAGTTTCTTCTCATAGGTGGACTTAGCCAACTTCTGAGACGACATTTTCTTGGACATTTACTCTATAGGCCTCAACTTTGGACCCTCCTGTTGCGCGAGCACGACGCCAATGCCATATTGGCTGGCATCCGTGGTGACTATAAACGGCTTATCAGGATCAGGAAGTTTCAAGACCTCGTAGTGCATCAATGCATGCTTCAGATGTCTGAAAGCAGCCTCGCACTCATCTGTCCACTCCCATGGGGTGTCAAGGCAGGTCAGATCAGTCAAAGGAGCGGCCACTATGCTATAGTTCTTCACGAAAGTCCTATAGTAGCCTGTCATTCTTAAGAAAGATCTCATCGCAGTCACAGACTGAGGACGTGGCCAATCACGAATGTTGGCCACCTTCGCGTCATCGGGCTTCAACCCTTCCGCGGAGATCTCATGACCCAAGTACAAGACACGGGTGCGGCCAAACTCGCACTTCTCACCGTTAATCTTGAACTTGTGTTGTCGCAGGAGACTAAGGACTTTGTCCAGGTGCGCAACGTGTTCCTCGACAGTCTTACTAAAATAAGTATGTCATCGAGGTACACGATGACAAACTTATCCAAGTAGTCATGGAATATCCGATTCATAGCGTGCTGAAAGGTGCCAGGAGCATTGCAAAGACCGAAAGGCATCACCACAAACTCGTATAGACCGTACCTGGTCTGAAAGGCGGTTTTGTGTTGATCCTCAGGCCGGATTGCAATCTGATGGTACCCGGACTTCAGATCTATCTTACTGAAGTACCGACATCCTTGCACTCTATCTAACAGATTGTTGATGCGCGGTAAGGGCTCTCTGTTCTTTACAGTGATGGCATTGAGACCCTTATAGTCAATGCACATCCTGAGTGTACCCTCCTTCTTAGGTACGAATAGTACTGGAGATCCATAAGGAGAGACACTCGGCGGGATCCATCCCTTCTCTACGAGTTCCTTGAGCTGTCGGCGAAGCTCATCGAGCTCGCCTGGAGACATCCGATAGATCCTACCCTTCGGGATGCTAGAACCTGGGATAATCTCTATCGCATGGACGACCTCCCTCTCTACAACCCCTGTTGGCTCTTCAAATAGATCAGGGTACTTAGCAACTACTCCCTCTATCTCCGACGACATTTTCACCGGCTCGCCTGCAACAGAGATATAAACTAAGTACATACCCTCCTCTTGATTTTGCTTATAATAGTTATAAAACGCAGCCGCACACATGCACCCATAGGACTCAATCAGACTACTAACTTTGAACTTATGTAATCTGGCGGTCCCTCCACCCGGCAAAGTGTGTTTGACCACTTTTCGGTCCCAGTCAAACTGGGGCTGTGTCACAGAGAGGTAGTACATACCTAACAACATGTCCATGGGGAGTTCATCGCTCACTAGGAACGAGATGCGATGTCTCAAGTCCCCTCCCGCGTACGGGAAACAACACTCAACATCCTGGAGGTAGTCATTGACTACCATGCGCTGTTTGTTGGCACAGGTCGACTCCACATGTCAACTCAGGCGCTGCACTCGCCCCTGTAAACGCAGCCTCTCAACGCACGCGCGACTAATAAAGTTCCTTGTTGAGCAAGTGTCATAATAGGCCCCGGCCTTCCGGCCGCCAATAACAACCTTGCTGACAAACATCTCACCCTTCGAGGCTTTGACTAGTGCCGTCCAAGAAGCTAGCGGGTCTGATCTATACCACTCCACCTCTAGCTTCTCTAAGGACTCAAACACATTCATCGAACAGAGGCTCGATGGGTTTGAATGTGCTTGCGGAACGATGCTGGAGTCAGTAGCTTGAGCCATCTCGCGAGATGGTGAGGGTGTCTCCACCACCTCGACCCTGGCAGGAACAACTACTATTCCTACTGGCCCGACGTGTTTCTCAGAGCACTGCCTGAAGTACTGGCAACATTGCTACCAACGGGATAAGAGGATCCCAACACCTGTCCTATCGTAGGCGGGATTTTTTCGGTTACCTTCTTGTTGCGGCACTTGTACTGGCTATGGCCATATTGACCACAACGAATATATGCCTGCCGTGAGTACCGGTCTCTCCACACGTCCTCTGTGAGACCCGCTTTCTCCCATGGAGGAGCATTGGGGTCAACTTGACTCCTAGGTCGGGAGCCTCCACGGCGTCTACCGGTCGCCTTACCTTTTTGAGCAACGGCAGCGACTACTCCACCCTCTGAAGCTTCTATGCTGCCCGCCTCTGAACCTACTCCCTCCTGGAAGTGTTCGTCTACTTCGATAGTGGAACCGTCATTATCGACAAACATTAAGCGACCCTTCGCCTTCCAGTTAGGAGGCAGTGTCTTCTTCCTCCCATCCATAGTGGATGCCTGTCCATGCCCTATCTTAGCCTCAAGGTCTAGGGCCATCTTGCTGAACGAAGGAAAGTTGTGCATATTGATGTTGGCCTCCCTTGCCAACTAGTTCCTGAGAGGCAATGAAAAGCATCTCAGGTACGAGGTAAGTAAGACCTGGGGGTCATAGCGCACCCCTGGGACGCAGATCAAACGCTCAACAACGCCGGTGGCTTCCCTTACTGACTTGAACTGCCGCGTGTGCAGTGTCAGGATCGCATCAGTGGCCCTTTGGGCCTCCTGAGGATCGTGCCACCTGTCCTCCACCATCTTCAGGAAGTCCTCCAATTTCTGGGTGACCGCCCAAGCGCGGAAGTCATGACCATACCCCTGGAGCTGCACTAAACCACTCAACCATCTTGTTGCACTACCCTCTAGGTAGGAAGCAGCCACAAGCACTTCTTCGTGCGGCAAGGTAAGTTTACACCTGACGTAGACCGGCACTGCCCTCAACCACGTGTTGAGGTCTTCGCCCCTCTCATCCCCTATGAAAGGTTTGGGAGCGGCGATGGCCGTCTTTGGAACCCACTGTGTCTGTCCCGGTCCCTGCATCACTACGGGTTATGGACCCTGTGACACAGGTTGTTGTGCCAGCTGCTGGGGCTGTGTGCCCTGCGGGTGCACAGGCTGCGAGACAGCAGGCTGCGTGGTGACAGCAACCTGCAACGGAGTTTGGGTGAACACTGTCTGAACAGGAACCTGTAAACTAGCCCCTGCTGATACCCCCCTTGACAGCGACATGCCAAGGGAAACGATCGCGACCGATGACGGGGCGACATATGGGGATACCCCAGTCACTGGTGGGACACAAGGAGGAGGATGTACAATGGGCCAGGCACCAAGCCCGAACATTGGCAATGTGGCCTGCGTTCGCCCAACCAACAGGGCCAGACTTTGCTGGATGTCCTGAAGGATGGTTGTCTGATGGTCCTGCATCTCAACTACTTTCAGCAGGACAGACCATACGAGTCTCACATCATCAGTCATCTCAACTACATTCAGCAGGAGAGACCGTACGAGTCTCACATCATCAGTCACGTTCGTCAGGTCCATCTCCTCTAACTCGCTAACGTCCGCTTGTCTATGTTGCATCCTGGCTCTTCTTTTAATCATTCTGTCTTTCTCCACTTTTATTTCTCCTAACGCCTTCTGTAGCTGTGCCTCCTGAATTGCTGCTTGTTGTATGGCGATCTCATTGGGAGTTAACACCAGTGGCTGGCTCGCCATGACACCAGTGGACTGACTCTGGGTCTGCGCGACCATTGACCCAACAGACCTTGAACTACCGGCCTGAGTGGACTGTTGCGCTGCGGTGGCCATGGCTTCTGAAGCTGCGGCTTCACTCACAAGTGCCCTGCTAGGCTCTGCTGCTCTAGCCCTCCGCTGCTGCTGCTGCCTCTCCCTAAGCTGGCGGAACAGATGTCTGTCGTCCTCTAGTCCTAATGCCAAATGGGCTACTGGGCGCCTTGCCGATCGCAAGATCCGGTCATCCGGTTGCTGTTCCTCCCTATCACTCATAAGCTACAGCCCTGTACACAATCTACGCTATTGCAGTCTAGGCGCCTACCGCAGCGTAGTGCACAGACCAATCAACTGGTGGCTATTTCGGAGACTCTACATTCGGGTCAACAGGTAAGTCAGGTTCCTAGAAATAAAACTATTTTTAGTTTGACTAGTCCGCAAACAGAAGCACCAGGAACAATGAACAGTTCTAACTAATGCTGTCTGTCAGATGTCAATGGCTGTACACCTAACTAATCAAAACATAAAAATAGAATTATTTGTGTGGATAGGACAGCATGGAATTTTCTCGAACTTATCAACTGGAATTTACCCCTCCCTGAGTTCCCCTGAGTATCTCTTGACGTCAGCGTCCCTGAGCAATCCGGAGGTGTTGCGTGTCTAAAGGTGTGTGTCCGGCCCACCCCTGTGCCCCGAGTATCTGCTGAGCTGGCCAGCCCTGCACTGGATTATCCTCGCGTGCAGCGAGCCTTACAACCATTGGCTGATCCGAAGGCAATTTAACGTCCGCCCCCAAGTGACTCCAGGAATTCTTTTACGTCGCAGTCGGACGACGATCACAGCCAATGGTTCCCCTTCCGGTGCTTATTTAAAGACGCCCGGTCTCGTCTCCCTCAAGGGCTGGCCTGCCCAACAGTACCCATCTAACAGCGCAGCAAGCCGAACAAAGGACAAGCAGCAAGGCATGCGTGCTCTACTCCCTATGGGTTGGCATGGTGACCGTGACCCAGTGCTTCGTCCAGGGCCCTTCAGAAAGCTCCGCCCATCTTCTCCCAGATGGTCCACGTGAACATTGCCGACTCTCAAGGTTGAGCGCACTCGACACCTCACAATGAGAGGACTCTCAAGAAGGAACTCACAACCTCACGGTAAAAAGTGTCGGAGAGGGTAGATAAGGTTAAGAGCAACGTACCTCAAATAGCTGCCCCCAACCACAGAGATAATCTCACCAGATGACCTGATGGCGATTGCGATGACCAGTCACTGCATCGGCACAACCAGCATTATCTTGCCGTTCCACCTCAGCATCAATCGCACATTAGATAGTTCTCATCACACTGTCCAGACCACATTAACACCACGTAGCCTTCCTGGCCATCCCCTCACCTCCTGGGTCGCCACTCACTCGCCTCCGCCCTCCTCACTACACACCACTTACGGCCATATTCGCCAAGCAGACCGCATGTATGTACCGTACCAGGCAGAAGACAAGCGCCAGATGAGCGCAAACGTACCACAGCCCCGATACCAAATTGCAAGGAAGATGAGCGATAGCGAACTTCAGCAATCAAACAGCATCATACATATGAGTGCAGATAGTCGTGACCTCGAACCAACAGCAGAATTGCATCACGAGATTCACCAAATAAGAACACACCAAGAGTTCATAATTGACAATGCTGAAATAGTCCCATCATCATCAACGAAGAACCAGAGTATATACCCTATCTGGCGCTCGGCACCCAGACTACATGTGGCAGATCCTATCTAGCCTACACTACGATACCGAAAGATGACGTCAACAGCATTCCCGAAGTATGAGCATATTGCGACCAATGTCGCCCGCTTCCAGCACCAGGTATGTCTCTCGCCACACTCACAACCTCGTTCCCCAACACACACATGCCACTAGCACCCTGCGCTTCACCCAGCTTACAGCAGCGCAGCTCGGCTATGGCTGCGTGCTCCTTCCCTGCTCGCCTGTGAGAGCGTAGGCGCCAGCCAGCAAATAGCGCAGCAGCGCTTGCGCAGCATGCAGCCAGCACCCGAATGCCGAATACGGAGGCAGGCCCTTTGCTATATCAAAGTGGCCTGCCTGCATGCAGTCCCAGGAAGCTTCCAGTAGGCCCCGGTAGCCTGAGGCCCAGCTCGACGAAAACAGGCCTTGGGCCTGAGGTGGTTGCATGTACCCAACTGCCTCTGGCCTGTGTTCGGCCCAGTACCCGTATTCAGCCCAGGGCCTGCTTCACATACATTCACACAGGCGGCCCAGGGCCTGGGTTCACTCAACCAACTGGCGCTGCGCAACTGCCTGAATTTCCTTGAGTTGCGCAGAGGCCGAAATAAGGCCCTGAGGGGCCTCGTCGAGCCTGCCTTCACTTAGGGCGGCCGACAGGCTCTCAAAAAGGGGCTGAATGGGGCTCATAGAGGCAGTGGCCTCGCAATTGGAAAATCAGTTTTTTCAAATCATAGGCAATGGCGATACGTAGGTCCGAGGCACTATTTAGAGGAAGTACTATGTGAGGAGTAGCAGCTATTCTTGGAAAGGTGGCGAAAGGTGAACGGTGTTCTTGGTGACTCGGTGTGTCTCTACAACTTCTGACCCACTTTGCAAGCATCAACAGTACCGGCAAGCACTGTGGATTGTCCTCTGGACTTGGACCTACTTGCGGCGCGCGGGGAAGGTCACGACGGCGATGCAGTATTAGCCTGATTCCCCTATTCCTGCACGGCCATGCCGCCATGACTCCCTCAAAGCTCCCCCTCCTCCAAGCCGGAGAGATGGTTAACGGAGACCTAAATTTTTAGACAACTTGTCATGTCATTGGATCAGTACCTCTGGGCCTCAGCCCTCCTCTGTGCAAGCACGGACTCGAACCTGTGACCTCGGCCTCAAGAGCCAAGTATCGTAACCGCTACGCCAGGACACGGTGTTCAAAAGCGGAACCATACCGGCCGTGATATCCGCCCCACCCCTGCAAGGCTGTAGTGTCCACACTCAACGCACACCACACACAACACCACACGGACGCTGGCAATCACCGCACTTTTTGCTCCAAGTAGCACATGACCTCCATCGGTAGTATAGCCCGGTCACTTATGCGGGACTTTAACTGCCCGCCAGTTATCGGGAGTTTCCAATGCCATTGGATCAGTACCTCTGGGCCTCATCCCTCCTCTGTGCAACTTGTCATGCCATTTATAACAAAACCCAAGAGTCATTTTATCCAAACTTGCCAACATTCAATTTCAGAAATCTTGAGAAATTCCAGAAATTTCAGCAGAGGAAATTCCAGTGCTCCAAATGAGACCAAATTTGGTACACCCAAAGCTTGACCCAAAACAAAAACAGGCAAAAAAAAAAAACAAAAAAAACAACAACATAAAATTTGACCCCGAAAACCTGATTTCAGTTTTGGGTCTGTTGGTCAGGACCTGAAAATGGGGGTCCCCGTTAACTATTAGTGCCAAGCCCCGGCCCTATTTCTCATCCTGCTAGCCCTGCTGGCCTTCTATAGCCACTATTTGCTTGCTTCATCAGCTCTGCAATCTGCTAGATACCAATTGTTCTCGCAGCCACGCTTGATTTCTGCTTCGCAGCTAGCACAGCCTACTTAGTGCTCATTGCTGCAGACGCCTGAAGCAGCAACCATGGCGGAGGATGGCGACGAAGGACACTCCAGCATGGAACTTGCCGCATTTAGCTTCTTCACCTTTCTTGCTTTTTAAGCTATCCTGGCCTTCCTCCTATTTCTCGCAGCACTCCCCATCCCCCACCCGCATACACCGCGTATGACCTACAGCTCCTGGAGTGATGAAACCCCAACGCAGAACCCAGTTCAGCAGCAGCCTCCACATGCCTCTCATAGTCCCTTCTCTCCCACCTCACCCTGCTCTACCGAAACCCTTCCCCCCATTCCCCCTCATCCTTGCTCTGCACCTTCTAAGGAGAATGGAAGGTGTCCCTTGACGACGCTGCTAGTAGCGGCAGCAGAAAGGCCTCAAGGACTCGCCACGTTGTCCTGTGCATCAACATCGGACTTTGTGCACAGAGGCGCAGTATATCTAAGCCCTGGAAGTAGCCAGATACAAGCCCCTCTTCTCCGACCTTTTTCTTTTCTTCTTTCCCCCCCTCGTCTCCTCACTCTCTCTTCTTCTAAGCTGTTCACGTGACAAGGAAAACAATGGGACTTGGAATTCCGTAAGATTGACGTGATGTCTTGTCCTGGGTTTTCTGAAGTCGCATTGTCATAAGCATGGGTACTATTTTTTCCAAGTGCATTTTTTTGTGCGTTGTTATAACTCGACGCTTAAGATTTTTGCTCACTGAAATCTGTTAATGCATGATGGTGTGATGGGAGTCCTTTCAATGTTTTTTGAAAATGCCAGTCTCTCCTTTTACGACTACAGTAGTTGTTTCTGGTACATAAGTTGATGTGCGTTGGCATTAAGTACACTGTTCATGAGAATATTTCTTCATTTTTTGCAACTTCTCTGAAAAGTGTCTCTCAAAGGATCTTTCGGTGTAATGTTTCTTTTTACAAATCACTCAGGCCGCTTCTATTCTGGGGGGCATTAGTCCGGTTGCTTATCACCGGCAAGCATGAGTACAAGAAAAGAGAAGCGAATGAACAGAATTGAAAAAGGGTCAGCCCAACCCTTGTGGTATGAGTCGCCTACTCAAACCATTAAAATGAATTTGTTACTCTTATTCCCAGAAATACAAAATCATTTCGAAATTTTTGAACACCTTTGTGGGTTTCATGTGACTCTTGTCACTTCAGCTAAAACCCAAAATGAAACTTCCATTTTGTGGAGCGTTTTTTTACAGAAAGAAGTTTAGCCATATGTCAAACCAAGTCATTAGAGCTCAAACTGCTACGAATCCCCCCCCCCCCACAAACCATTGCCTTCCTAGGGGGCTTCTGCTGGCCGGGAAGCTTACTGGCAGCACCCAGTCACACAGCAGGAGGGCTCTAGGGAGGACAAGGTGTGGGCGAGGTCATTCTAGCAGCCCCTCAGGCCCTCAAATCTCACATCTATGCATAGTCACTCGGATCAAACCACCAAAGCCTCCAACAGTCCTATTCCTCTCCTCCTTGCATTCGCTCTTCTACCCTTGTTAGGGATAGCCTACCCTCTCCATACCCTCTCCATAGTCCTATGTCTCCTTTCTATCTCTCCCCCCCTGAAAGTCTCTAGGTACCCCTCTCACATCCATTCCCCGTACACTTGCGCGAAATGAAATTTCCTGGTTTTTTATAATTAAAGATTGGTCTGAGAGTAATTGTGCATCCATGTTTCTT